CAGACGGGAGCAGGCCTCAGCGGGAGCCAGGCCGCGGCGCGGCCCCTGCGGTCACCGAGGCCCGAGCTCAGGAGGCTGTTGCTCTCCGGGCCGGGGCTCTGTCGTGCCTCTACCGGTATATCAACGTTGCGTTTTTGGAACGTCCGGGGCTTCTGTTCTCTGCCTTAGCGTCCTGGGGAAGGTGTTTCCAGAGTACCCGGGGGTTAAAAAGCCACTAGAGTACCTGAGGGGCCTGAGAGCTGCGTGCCGCCCAGTGGCTGCCTGGCTGACTCCCAGAGCTGTGCTTGGGTAAGAGGAAGCGCTGCCCAGAACGTGGTGCTTTTGTTTGGTCCTTACGAGCCCTTTCTAAAAGCTGCCTATTAAAAAATCATGTATTTACCCCAGGCTTTAGGAGAGGGGTGCTTTGGTGAGTTAATTGTCGTTTAATAATCGTAAGGGAAGTGGGTCTTCTCCTGGCTGTGATGGTGTTAACGTAATTTTAATTAGATATAGATAAACGGTGCAGTAGTGTTGAAGTCACCTCACCAATATGTGTGCTGGATTTCCTCACCTCTAATTAGTCTTGCTAATCAGTGCCTAGGAGCTCAAGCTGATAATGTGCTCCTGTCCGAGCCATTTTGTATAAACACCCAGGTGTTATAGTCAAATGAGACCAATCAAGTCTAACAGTTAGTTAATTGGAAATTTATTCAAGGTAAGAAAGCAAAACAGCACGCTGGGGTGGCTGGGGAGTCCCAGCTCCTCCAAGGCTCGCCAAATTCAGGCAATTAAGCGACCCCTTTTATCCTTGTCTCAAGGTGTGACTCCCCCTTTTCTTTAATTTGCTTCAGGCAGTTTAGATAAGAATCAAGGACAGATTTAGGTTACAAAGACACAATCTTCAGACAATTAATTTGCTTGATGTTTCAAGTAGGGGCACGTGTAGTCATGGTTCCACGACTTTATGGTCTGTTTAGAATAGTTCCTCTTTGTTTCTTCATGATTTATGGTCTCCTTGCTCAACAGATGTTTCCAAACAGGATGTCATTATATCTGGTCTCTTTATTTTCAGAGAAAATGTGCCAGTACTTGGTACAGTGCAATTATTTTACTTCATTATTTTGATTGATACACTACCTATTATACTCGTAACTATGAATGCTACAATCTAGGGCTTTGTTCAGCAAATTACCTTTGGTTACTTACTACAAGAGCATGGAAAGCGAACATGTGCTGGCTGTTGTGTTGCACCTGGTGGGAGTGGGCAGTCTAGAAAGGGTGTTGGTACTTGTGTGTCTCAGCAGCTGGGTGCGGAGGTCGGGTGGACACATAACGGCTCTGTGAGTGTGATGCGAGTCACCCCGCAGAGGGTCCGGAGTTAAACCCCCTGCTGAGTCATCCGAGGGAAGGACCAAAGGGGTGAATTCCCCTCTGTCAGGAATCCAGCCCCCACACTCCAGCATCCGAGTTGGTACTGAAAATAAGGGCAGCGTCCCTTTTATTCCACCCTATTTATTTAGGGCAGATTCCCTTTTATTCCACCCAAAACACTTCCAAGTAACTGCCTCTGAATAACGCAGATGTTGGTAACGTTCAATAAACTTCACTGAATTCCAGCGTAATGTCTTCACTAGAAACACATTTTTCAGATTTTTAAAGTGAATGTACTCTTTGCAATTACTCATTAAGCAGAGCTGTTTGCATCGATTCTGCAGAAGAATGCTTTTCCTCCCCAGAATGATTGTTTGTGATTTATCATTGTGGCCGTGGCTCAGGGGAGCCGGGAGGAGGCTGCAGACCTGAACTGAAGCTGCTGCCTTGGCCTGCCTTTAGAAGCAGCTTGCTTTGCCCAACGCAGGTGGGGGAACGAGCAGTTGGGACTTTCACATCCCTGAGAAGGAGTTTTCACTTGGTGGCTGTTGTCTTCTGTGTCTTACCTGCTGTTTTGGTGTTTTTCCCTGCTAGAGAGTCATTTCTAGCATTGCTGTAAATACTTAGTGATACAGTGGGAAGTAAGATGATAATGCTTGCCTCAGGGCCCCAAAATTTTTAATTATTGAAAAGGCTCCCTGCGTTTATTACTCGCCAGGGAAAGTGACTCAGCTGGGGGTTGCGTAAGATGATAATGCTTGCCTCAGGGCCCCAGAATTTTTAATTATTGAAAAGGCTCCCTGTGTTTATTACTCGCCAGGGAAAGCGACTCAACTGGGGGTTGCCCGTCTTCCCCCAAGTCAGTGGGAAAGGTACATTGTCCGTTCTGGACCATGTTCTGCATGTGAGAGCACATCTTTGTTCTGGGGTCTGTGGGCTTTACCAGAACACTTCTGTGGCCTCCCTGTGCGGGTTTGAGCGTTCTGTTTACCAGTGTCCACAATAAAATTTTAATTAAACAGGAGGAGGAGGCTACTGCTTTGCTTAAAGGTCTGTGATGCCTGGCAGCTTTGTGGATCGGGCTCTGAGTGTTCATCCTCAGACTGAGTCTGGGTCCTGCATCGTCCAGGCTTAGATCCGTGCCCTTGGGAATGTGTCGCTGTTGGAGTCCTGCTGTGCTAGCCTCACTGGGAGGCACTGGTAGTCAAATGGGTTTGTTTTTCTGTGCTTGTAGAGTTTGATTGGAGCATGGAGCCCCTCTCCCCACCAGAACCAGGGTTTCCTGCAGAAAAGAGCTCACCTGTGCCGCAGAAAAAATACCGTGTCCTGGTGGGTGTGACTGGAAGTGTTGCTGCCTTGAAGCTGCCTCTCCTCATCACTGAGCTGCTGAAAATCCCAGGGGTGAGTAAATCTGTCGGTAGAGCGTTGTAATGTTGGTGTTATCCTGTTTCTAACTTCTAGGAGAGACTTCATGGCTTCTGTTGAAATTAAAAGTTCTTTCTGCCTTTGAGCTCTTCAGTTTGAAACTTTCTTGGGAGAGGGATCCTCCTGTTTTTAAAAATCAATTAATGCTTTTTTCCCTATTGTTACATACATCTTTATATTCAAGAGTTAGCTTTAAATCAGGTTTTAAGGGCAGTAACTGTTCCTGGATATTTCCATAGGCAAACATTGAGATTCTGGAATACAAAAGTATCATTGTTCAGTTCAGCTTGCTTAATTCTCTCAAAAATGATTGAATACGTCCTGGTCTTGTTTGGTTTCTTTTTGGTGTTGTGTTTTTTTTTTTGTTTTGTTTTGTTTTGTTTTTTTATCCTTGTCAGTCCAATTGTCAGGTATGGCTACAGACACAGGCGGATGCTTTCTGGAACTTGACATCTCTAATGAGTACCCTGCAGTTTTCCGTAGGTGAGATGTGGGGTTTGCGAAGGTGGACACTGCTGTCTGACCAACAAAGGGAAACCAGATCTTGTGCAAGCAGAAATAGACAATACAAGCTGCTTTATGTGTCTGTGCATTTTTTTTTTTTTTTTTAACAGGAGTTCATTGTCTGGAGTAACAGAGGTGTCCAGGAGAGGCCACTAGTTACTAGAATCAGGGAGGGAAATGTACTCGCTTTTTACTGTAGAATAAAGTCAGAGAAAAACAGAAAACCTTTAGCTTTTAAGAAATGGAGGAAATGTTTTGGAGCAGTGAAATAAAGATGACTGTCCTTTTGGCTGATTTAGGAGGCTTTACCTGTAGATACATTAACACAGAGTCAGAAGAGGTGTAATCCTCGAGTAACTCTGAAGTGTCTGGTTGATCCTGGATGTTCTGTGACAACTGTTGCAGGCTTTTGTTGCATAAAAAGTGAAAGTGAAGTATCCAGTCCTGGAGCTTCTTGTACTTAATTTGTTAATTAAAATTATGTACTTACTAATTTCTGATGTGATTTCAAGGTCTGATCTAAAGCCTGCTGAGTCAGTGTAACTTTTTCCATGGAGTTTGTTAGGTCCTGAGCAAGCCTATTGCGGCAAATTCTTTACTGATGGAACAGAACTTTAAAAAGCCGTCGGTGGAAGCAGGGCAGGAGCAGAGGAAGGCTTTGACACCAGAGGAGATGTGGTCAGCAGCTTGAAACTGGAGTGGGTGGTTTAAATTGGTGTTTTGCTAAGATGATCCTCGGTGGACAACTTGGTGGTGTGATTTGCGTTCATTAAACTTTAACGTCTGCTTGAGGGTGATAATGGATATGACTACATCTTCTTGCCTTTTGTAACCTCTTTGAAGATCTAGGAAATTTGCATGGCATCAGCTCACACCTTTCAGGCTATTGCCCTTGCACCTGGTGTTGTGGGGAGCCAGCACACAGTGTCTGGTCAGGACACTGCGGGTAGCGCTCATGCTTGTGCTACACTCACATGTGTTGTCTCAGGCCAGTTCCAGGGATTTTTGAATGGCCTGGCAGGAACATGATGACAAAAAATCACATCAGCGGGACGTTGGTTAGTCAAAAGAAAAGAAAGAGCAAACTTTTCTGAGGGTATAATGTATTGCTCATGGAGCTGCAGGGTGTCACCTGGACTTCTAGGTTTAAATTGTGTCATGTCAGTTCATTGCCCTCTTGCTGGGTAGCCTCTACATCAGCTTGTAGGTTCTGCCTAGCAGAGGAGCTACTCATTCTCTTCTGCAGCGGTTGCTACTTGTTTTACAGTCAAAACTGAGAACATTATGGAAAAAAAAAATCGTACGCACCCCCTCACCCTGAGCAGAAATGGCTGTGACAGGAGAATCCTCTAACAGAGACCAACAATACTGCATGAACGCAGGAGAGCAGTGTTGCAGCAAAGTTTCTTTTGGAGAGTCGGCTTAAATGGACCCAGTAAAAGAGCTCTGACTAGTCTCAACTGTCTCCAGTAGAGGAGTTTGAGTGTGGCTAGACTGACTTTACTGTTTAAGCAAAGATATAACCACAGGCAAACAGAGGGTGTGCCAAGTAAACAGAAGGAAAAAAACTATGTAGGCTAAAGTGATATTGAGAACACTGATCTCTTTCCAACGTAGCTGGAGGGACTTGAAGGACTTGCTCAGAACAAGGAATCCAGGAATCCGAAACCTCAATTAGGGAGAATATTTAACTAATAGAGTTTCTTGGAGGAGTGGTGGAGTCACCACCACTCTGAATCCTTGAAAATACCCCTCTGGTATGCTCCAGCTTGCAGTGGGTTGGATGCAGTGCTCTATAGCCAGCTATTCCCTGTTCCTGGGCTTATGCCTTGAAGAAATAAGTATTGTTTTAAGACCAGAGACGGTTAACAATCTGTCTTAAAAAGGTAAAAACAAAGCAGAGGCTTGTTTCGGGATTTTTTTGTATCCTTTAGCCTAAGGGGGTTATTTCTTGTCTAGATTAGAAATTTTTGAATAATGACACAATCAAAGTAGCAAGTGACAAAATATGTCATGGGGTAGATAGAGTTGTATCTGAAAATCCTTCTACCGTTATGGCTAACTGTAAATAAGAGT